TACATCTATAGCTTTTAATTTGTAAGGAAATAAATTATAACCATTATTTAACTTTATTAGTTTTAGTAATCCATAGCGCAGGGTGTTTTCTAAAATTTATTTCTTCATGTTTTCATAGTAATTTACCAGTTTGCAAGTTTATATTACTTGGGTATTTTATCTAAAATAAAGTAATGTCTTAAATGTGTGAAGCCATCTTGCTCACAAGTAGATTTCAGCATTATTCTTAAAATCTTATTAAACATTTTTTTAGTTTAACACTTGAAAATAGGAGACAGACTATTTTGGTGATTTCTTACACTGATGGAGGCTTGATTCAGTGGAATAAAGATTTTAAAATAACACCAGTGATATTTTCAAGTGCCCATAATTTAACCATGAAAATCAGAAAATTTTCTACGGTCACATTCAAGCCCCATTCAGATTTTGTGCTTTGTCTCAATATGTCGTTTAGGGCAAGAGAGCCAATTTAAAATCACATAACATGTTACTTGGTACGTTTCTTTAGCGTCTTTCAGTTTGGAACCACTCTTCATTCAGTGTTTCCTTATCTTTAAAGATTACAAGCCAATATTTTGGGGGAATCATCCTTAATTTGGGTTGCCTGATATTTTCGCATGATTAGATTCAGGCACAGATTTAGGAAGATTTTATAAAACTAATTCATTGTTCTGCATTCTATATGTATATGATTTCAGTGTGTCCCTGATTTTGTCCAGTTTGGGCTAAAGTCACCACAGCAGAGAGCTGGTTCCTTCTGGGGATCCTAGGGGAGTCTTTCTTTGCTTTTTCTAGCTTCTAGAAATATCCTGCTTTCTTTGGTTTCTGCACCCTTTCTTTTTCAAAGCTCATCATCCAACTCTTGTCTTCTCTTTGACCCTCCTGCCCTGTCCTCTTTTAATTGGCTCACCTGGATAATCTTTCCATCTCACGATCTTTAATTTAGGCATATTTGCAAAGTGCTTTTTGCTGTGTAAATTCTGGGGTTTAGGACCTGGGCATTTATAAGAACAGTTATTTGCTATCACTCTTCCTCATTGTATAGTTACACTTTATCCCTGTGTAACTAATATTTTTGGATAGATATTTGGAAACATATCTTCATCACATTTTAAAACATATCGAATAGTTTCCTATTCAGTGAGCTATAATTTGCTATTATCCTGGTTTTGATACTCAAATTGTTTTCCACTTCGTCAGAGGAGCGAACTCCTTTATGGTGGCTTCTGTGTTCTTTTGAGATAGCCCTCTATTTTTGAGCACTTTCCTGCTTTCTATAATTTTCCTTGTACATTTACTAAGTAGATGAATTAGTTATTCAGGGATTACTGGTTCCATTTAGAAGCCAACATATAGGTGCACTCACTGCTATTGGGGTGTCACTGCTTCTAGACCTGCTTAGTAAAAGAGTTGAGAGTATATATGTATGCATATACATTTACATCTTTATTTCTGTAATAAAAGACATTAGTTCACACTGATACCTTCACTTCCAATCCAACAGCACAGGGTTTATTCTTGTTTTCTAATTTTTATATATGTAATTCCCTTCTATGATTATAAAAACTAATTTGTTATTCTTAATAATTTATCTGATCAGTTTTATAACCAGTTTCCTTTTTTGCCATTTACCCTCCCTCC